ATATTCTCTTTTATCCTTTTCTAAATCGCCCACTTTTAAAATATAGATAAATATCGATTTTCAGACATAATTTCTTAAACTTGAAGATAATAAGAGCTCACTATGAAGGTGTTCGTATAGCGAAAATAGATTACAAATTATTAAATAAATCTTCCATTTATTTTCTAAATCTTCCACTTTACAAAAAGATTCAAAAATATTAAGAGCTAGCCAGCATTATACTTCGTATGTGGGTTCTCGTATAGTATAAAAAGGTAGAAAATGTTTCACTTTTAAATGTCTGCCGTCATTCTCTCAAAAGCTCTTAAAGAAAAAGCCTTGATCTATTATGGTATATACACACTTTTATGTGCCACATTTAAGCACAGAAAGATTACAAAAAGATCGGACTATACGCACCGAGGAAAATCCAGTGTGTTTGCTAAGAAGCAAGCTTTTTTTGTTTTTATTTCAATTTGTTTTATTTTATGATGTAATCGTTCAGTACCTTCTGATAGAGTTCAGAGAGAGAGCCCAAGAAATAGAGACCTGGAGACAGACTATGTACAGAAGCAAGCTAGAATCTATCTATAACGGCAGCTTGTCGCCAAGTGCAGGGCATCTGCTAGTCGAATACTCCCGCCTAAAGCGCACTCTTTTTTTTTTTTTAAATAAATTGACCTATTTCCACTTGAATGCAGCTACGGCCAACGGCAGCTCAGTCTAATTGATCAGGACATTTGAAACGTTGTTGCATTTCCATTTCACAAACCTTGCATGCAATGCGATTTAGGCCTTTGTTTCAATTATTTGCAGTTTCATTATCGATTAGCAGCTGGGTCGGCTACAGTTACAGATCCAGAACATTGGCTGGCCATTGTGTTAATTGCACTAACAAACGTCTTCTTGTTGGCCTGGTCAATGAGTGCGGGCGGCTGGGCGTGGCAAGTGGGGCGGCTTGGCGGAAGCACAAATGGCACTTGATGTGCATTCGACATTAGTTCGTTAGCTGCAGCATGCAACACACTTAAACGACCCGGTTCCAAAGAGCGGCGACCTCCGCCAATTTAATGGCAGCAGCAGCGGCGGCGGCGGCAGCAGGGCAAAAAGTCAGGTTAAGAAAGTCAGGCCAGAACACAGATAAATGCATAAATGCATAAAGACATAGCAATGTGTGTGTGCAGGAAACACGAGCATGAATAATAAAGCACGACTGCACACACACACAGAGACGCCATTCATCTGTGTGCGTGTGTGTGTGTGTGTGCTGCAATGGGCGACAGTAACAAAAGAGCTGAAAATTAAAAAGAGACAAGCAATTAAAATGGCTTACAACGCTGCGCTGACTACAGCAACAACAACAACAGCAACAACAACAACAACAACAACAACAAGAGCAACAACAACAACGGCAACAGCTGTAACTGTAATTGTTGTCGCCCGCCTTTACCGCTGCTGCTGGTTGCCTGCCTGCCTGCCTGCCACTGGGGCATAATTGCTGACAGGATGCGACGCACGCGACCACTTCCGCATGGCAGAGCGGTCCACCGTTGCCACGCCCCCCCCCCCCTCCCCTCGTTTTGCGCCCAATCTCAGCTTGGAGCTGCTTTCATAACGTTGGCACATTTTACGTGCAAAATAAATGGCAAGCCGAGTGCAACAGAAATTAAGTGCAGTGCAAACAATAAAAGCCCAGACCGAGGCCCAGCCCGAGGCTCAAACTCAGACCCTTCTTCGGCCTGGTCACGACTTCTGCTGATGCATAAGTTGTCATTGTTGTTGTCATTGTTGTTGTCATTGTTGTTGCTGGTCACCACGACAGCCCCAACTCCAGCTGCAGCTTTGCATATTGCGCATACGCAGCGTAAGCAACACATTGCCATCAAGTGTTACTTCCGGTCTTGAGCGCCTGCAACAACGACAACAGCAACAACTACAACAACAACTACAACAATTATGTAATACAATTGCATGTAAGTAGCTACACGACAGCAAAAGACCAGCAATAACAATTGCGAGACACACACGCACACATACATGCACACACACATATACAAATACATGCGCATATACACATAAGAAGATATTACCAGGAAAAGTGGAACAAACCGAAACTTGAATGCAGTTGCAAATAGATAACTTACACTTTCTACAAAAAAAAAAAAAAAACACTCAAATTTGTTATTACCTTAAAACAACATTAATTTATTTAAATTTTATTATCTAAAAGGGAGGAATATACCAAGAATAGTTCATATTTGTATAGGAAATAAATATCAGGGCTGAAAACGCAAAACAAATTATCGGTGATTCGGTTCACGGTTCATGGTTCACGGTTCACGGCTCACGGTTCATGGTTCACGAATGAACCTTCTGTGCTTAGGTTCAGTTCGCGTACCTGGTTTTCCATATCCATGAACACAGTTTTAGGGTTGAATCTCTATTTCAGTTTCTTATTTATTATTGCCCATTCTTTATTTATTTATTTATTACATTATATTTCTATCCAATTAATTGGAAAAACAAGTTGGGCAAAGTTTTGTTGAAAGTTTGGTTAGGTTCATAGTTAAATATAAATTGGAATTTCGGATTTGAGCTGGTTCGGTTCAATGCAGCCTGAATGCAAATAAGTTCCAATAATTCCAAATAGCAGAAATACCATTTTAAAAAAAGGCAACCTTCTATTAAAGTCCCTTCCCTTTAAAACTGACCAACACGATTGAAAAAGTTATGAGGCCCCTTAAAAAAAAAGTACTTCATATGCTGATGGACCCATAATAAAATACATGAAATATGAGAACTGACTGAAATCCAATGTTAATTTTAAATTAAATGCGAATGTGTGCATTACGTGTTGCCATTTTGCCATGTGCTTGTCCAATCTGTGGATCTGCATCCAGCCACGGCAATCATAATAATGGGCCACAATTTCGCAGCACGGCATAACGGAGGGAAATCTCAGTGACCGCAATCCGTGAACAGCCGCGTCTACAACTCCGTTTCCTCCTTCTTCTGGCACTTGGCTAATTGTGCGAAACGGAACTTTAATCTGGATATGTTCAACAAGCATCTGTTAAAAAATCGTATGAGCGCGGAATTGATCTAGAGGCCAAACCATGACCAAAAAGCCAAACCGTATGAATATTGGTTGATTTTTGAGCGAGATATGGGGGTGGAAATTTGGACCTATGTCTATATAGGATATTTCAGGTTACCATTAACACATGAATTTCGACCAAAAATGATGTTGCTAGATTTAGATGCCAAATTGATCTAGAGGCGAAACCATGAACAAAAAGCCAAACCTCGTGTAAATCGGATAGGATTTGACCGAGTTTTGGAGGTGGGAAATTTTTAGCAATGTCTATATGGGATATTTGAGAGTACCATTAACACATGAATTTCGACCAAAAATGATGTTGCCAGATTTAGATGCCAAATTGATTTAGAGGCTAAACCATGAACTAAAAGCAAAGCCTTATGAAAATCGGAGGAGATTTGACCGAGTTATGGGGGTGGGAAATTTTTAGCTACGTCTATATGAGATATTTGAGGGTACCATTTAGACATGAATTTCGACCAAAAATTATGTTGCCAGATTTAAATGCCAAATTGATTTAGAGGGAAACCCATTAGCAAAAAGCCAAACCTCGTGAAAATCGGATAGAATTTGACCGAGTTATGGGGGTGGGAAATTCTGACCTATGTCTATATAGAATAATACCAGGTATGCTCCGGCCTTGCCCGTTGTTTAAAATAAATTCTCTCAAAGATCTTTGAAAATGAGTTTGAAACCAATCGGATGGTAAACAAAAAATTATCATACAAACATTTTCCTCGATTTTTCCACAGATGCGGGTGAAATTTCCCTTAACGTGAAACTTTCTCACATAAGGTAACTACAGTGGAAAATTCAGCTTTCTAGCTCTTGCGACTGGTCTGTGCGTTGATCACCAATTTTTATTTTTATATATAGATTTAGTCAATTCAGTTCAGCTGTACGAAGTGCGCTTTAAAGAATAATTCGCCCCGGCGACAGGTGAAGGTCAATTTGATAGGAAGCTTAAGTATTTGTCGCACACACACACACACACAAACGGAGACACACAGACACAGACAGGCTTCTGGCCCGAGCATCGGAAAGGACATTTTGCCAGGTCTTGCATCCTTGGGGAGACGACAACGTGCCTGAGACGCGGTGTCCACTTTGATTGCCGGCTCCAATTAGCGTAATATTCGCAATATGCTTTTGCCAGCGTTTGCCTTTTATTATCATTCCTTCATTTCAGTTTTTCTCCCATTTTTTTTGCTTCCCTGCTCCATTTTCACAACTTGTCGCCTGGCAGCGTTATTTTCGTTTCTCTCAATAACTAGAATATTGGCCACATCTACGGCTGCCGCTGCAGGAAAGTTCCAAGCAGCAGCAGCTGCTTTTAATTGAACGACATGAAAATTTCACATTGAACGAGCCGCGCGCAGTTTTCTTTTATGTCATCGCTGAAAATTGCCAAAGCCTTGTCTTTGGATATTGCTTAAAGCATCAACTAATTGTCAATTTGCGATTGTCAACAACAACAACAACGGGCCCAATCGTATTTACTGATAACCTACGAACATTATGGCTACCAGCCAGGTGTGTAGCCAACATGGCTGCCATTTCATTCACGAAATTCGCCAAGATAAGCAGCCGCCGCCGCCTGCACACGGTTCGTGCGGCCGCTTAATAGATTAACACGTTTTTCGGGGGCTACCTTTGAATAGGTAGCGCAGATAGCGGAGCTTTAGGAAAATGGGTCTACATGTGCCGCATTATCAGTCCACCAATAACAAAAAAACCATCAATAATGCGGGACTATCAACTACGCTCTAACCAGATCTAAAGTAGTCCAAATTCGAGATGGATGAGACATCGAAGGCAAGTAGACAGTTAAAAGAGTAGAAGAATTACAAATCTCGAGCTGCTTGGAACAGGCCTGGCTCTGCTCTAACAATTGGGCACAGATTTAGCATACAATTCTCAATCCCATTTAACAAATCTTAAAAGTTTAATGTTGGACACATCATAGAGCATAGAGGCGACAAGCACTTGGTACACTTAAAACTAAACTGACTTAAACTCTTATATACACTACACTAGAGGCCCAGGCAGGCAGCTGTGTAAGCTTTCTATTCCTCATCCTTGATGCAATTCTCGACCAGCTCACAAAGATTTGGGTTTTCCATGGCAGCTGCAATGCGTTCCTTGTCATTAATTTGCTTGTTAACTGCAAGTGGAATTAATTTTTAATTTTTTAAATGCAAGCTTTAGTTGATGCGCCAAAGCAAAGCTCACTTTCTTCCTCAGTTTGATGGGCGCCCTTCTTGATATAAATGTCCAGCTTTATGTTGTGGGGCAGTCCACGTTCCACCTTGACGCGTATGCATAGGCCAATCAGCGTGGCCAGCGAGCAGTGCGGCACGGTGGGATTGAATTCAATGCGCACCTAAGTTGAACGAACTGTATAGTTGTATATCTTTAAGGAGTACATCTTACTTACCACCGAGACATTGGAGCGGGTTGGCGGCATTACGAATATGCCATCCTCATAGATGACATTCAAGTCTTCCAATGTACACGGCTTTTCCGGATCGCGTATAGTGCGCAGCAGATCTGTAAGCATAGAGCATATGATAATTACATAAGTATTGTCATTTATCGCAATATTGCACACTTACCGTAGATGGTCTCCTGCAGATCTGTGGCATTGCGATAGCCCAGCTCGTGCAGCAGCGCATCCTCACCATAGGCAATCGTACCATTGTCCAATGACATTTGACTTGTTTTCCGCACTAGCTCTGCGGCGGCGGCTGTTGTTGTGTTGCTATTGTTGCTGCCACCAGCGACGCTGTCCGATTCAGAGAGTTTGCGCTTAATGTAAGACAACATATTTAGCCTTTTGCCGTTTGCTCTAATTAATGTTATGCGTGTGTGTGTCTGTGTATGTGTGGGTGTGTCTGTTGTTTGGCACGTTTGATTGGGGCGCTCTTATCGCTTCACTGTTTTTATCTTTTGTCGAACTGAATTCCTCGTGTCTGTGCGCTGTTATTGTTGTTGTTGATGTGCTGCCTGGTTTGTATGCTTGCGCCGTGCAACATAATATTACTATTGCAATTTGTTTGTATTGTACTTTAATTGTACGTGCCGTTAAAATGTTTTTGCATATCAATTAATATTACAACGCAGCACAACGAACTGATTTTTTATAAACAGCTGATTTTTGTTTTGGTATCAGCAGGGCTGCATTAGCAGTACTCAAGCTACAAGGTAAGCCAATGCGCAGGTCTGTTATGCTCCTAGCATTTGCAAATATGTGACGTCAGAGAGACACTCTCATCAGTTTGTACGCGCGCTGTTCGTTATTTTTTAAATTAGCAAATGCTAAAAGCATACATACATTTTTCCATATCAGATTTTGGCGTTTTTATTGGCTAAGCGCGCAAGTTTTTGTATGCAGCCCTGGCAGCTGTTAAGCTGTGACGTCAAAGCGCTCTGCGCAACGGCTATCACGCTCGCATTTGTAACTGCTTATTCGCAATTAACACTAAAAATGTGTGAAGCATTACAAACGGCAAACATAATCGTTTTTAGTTTTATTTGTTGTTCGTTTGCAACCCATATACACAACTGTGGTATATTTGGCAACACTGCATCTTATCAGTGTTTGTGCTCTCCGTCGCCGTTCATGCGATTTGGGCTTAAAGAAGTTGCATATGTAATAGCTGCGCCGGCTTGTTTCGCGTTTCAACAAGTAGCAAATTAACAATCATAAATAGTGGATTAAACAGTTATTTAAAGTATTATTCCTGAACAGTGTAAGTAGCACTTGCAAATACAGCAGGCTGATAATAATTACATATACATACACATATGTATATTGTTTATAATGTGCCCAATAATGCTGCACTGTGGGCAGACATCAATATGTTGCACTATTTCGGCTGCAGCGCCCATTGTACTTAGCTAACAAAGTAATTTGCAGTAGGCTTTGATTATCAAAATTCGGCACATGCCTGACTCCACTTCCAGATCTATTCATTTCGTTTTTGTTAGTCTTACGAATTGTTTCTTATTTGTGAAAGCTCGTCGAACGGAAGCAAATCTCGCTTTTTTACCCTTTTGAAAAATAAAGGAAAAAGTTCGTAAAAAGCGAAAAAGCCCATCGAATTAAGCCCGAACGTAAGTGGAAGAAGGTAAGGCGATAAATAATTTCTACGATTGTGTATCAGTGTGCGCGGGTGCAAAAGAAATTAAGAAAAAAAAAAAATGGCGCAGACGAAAAACTGTCCTGGAAATATGCCGTTGTCAAAGTGTTTCCCTCTCTTTTGTGGTTTATTCGTGAATCTTTTTGGACATCCAGTCCGCAATTCGTTAGAGGTCTTCATTCTGTGCGCGTCGCGACCTCTGCGTTAGCAAAGAAATATATTAGATTTATTCTAATAAAATTAACATTTTTTAATTTATTTTTGAGTAGTTTCTTTAATTTATTTGAATTTTTCTTGCGCGCAGATCATATACCGAAATGGTTGCCATTAGCATTGATTCCGTCATTGACATTTCGGCCGCGGATCAGTCCACGGCCGCGTCGGGTGTGGCCATAAAAGACGAGCTACCAAACGGCGACTACATTTTGGTAGCCGTTGACATCGATACAACTGGACGCCGTCTCATCGACGAGGTAGGTCACCCACACGGGGTTAATGAACCATGACAGTGCGAATCTAACCTCACACTTTCCAATGGCGCCGCCCCCTTGCAGATTGTCCAACTGGCCGCTTACACCCCGACCGATCATTTCGAGCAATACATTATGCCGTATATGAATCTAAATCCGGCTGCCCGTCAGCGTCATCAGGTTCGCGTTATTTCGATTGGATTTTTTCGTATGCTGAAGTCGATGCAGACCTACAAGGTTAGTTAAACGCTTCCAGCCACTTCCAGGGTATTTCCATTATGCGATATTCTTGAATAAACTTGCAGATCATCAAATCTAAATCAGAGGTCGCTGCGCTAAAAGACTTCCTTGACTGGCTGGATCAGTTAAAATCGAAGAATCCGAATTCGGATGGCATTGTCCTACTTTACCATGAGGAGCGCAAATTTATACCCTATATGATTTTGCAATCTCTCGTCAAGTATGGCATGCTCGATAGATTCACTAAGACAGTGAAGTCTTTTGTAAATAGCTTCAATCTGGCCAAGTCCTCAATTGGCGATACCAAGCACTACAGCCTGCGCAATCTATCGAAGATCTTGAGCAAGGCCAAGGAGGACAACGCCGGCAAAGTCGGTAATGATAATGAAGCAGATAGTAACAGTAGCAGCGCTGATAAGCATGTAAAGAATGGACTCCAAAAGGAGCGAGATGAGTTCGATGGCAGTGCCAGCGTCCGCGCCAAGCTGACCTTTAATGTGGCTCTGCAGCTGAGCAACTTGGACAGCACCGAGCCAGAGTCCTCGGAGGCCTTGAGCAATCTGTTTGATGCCCTCAAGCCCTTCACCGAGGCCATTAGCGGTGATGTCAAAGAGCTGGACACACAGAATGTACACCTGGAACGTCAGAATTCGTTCCGTCCCGTTTTCTTGAACTATTTCAAGACCACGCTCTACCATCGCGTGCGTGCCGTCAAATTTCGCATTGTGCTGGCCGAGAATGGCTTCGATTTGACCACATTGAATGATATTTGGACCGAGAAGCGTGTCGAGGGACTGGATGCGGCCCTACAGGGCATTGCCAGCCTGAAGGCCGAGGATAAAAACGAGCTGGTCGAGCTGCTCGACAGTTTCTTCGATCCAGCCAAGGTGACCATCAAGCCGATCATCAAGCCCAGCACCATACGTCGTCGCAATAAACGCAACACGCCCAACCACAAGCCGGGCATCGGCAGCGGTTCGCGTTCCGCTAGCGATGAATTCGGCGCCGGCGGGGACAAGTCGCAAAGTGTGTCTTCTGTGCCAGATTCTACAACCAAAACACCGTCGCCCATTAAGAACGGCGGCCGTCCACAGCGCAAACGCAATTCGCGTCCAAGCCTTAACCCAAAGGAGGTGAAGACCACCGAGTCGGCACTGAACAATACGGCTCCGGCCAGCATCTCCTTGCCCAACTACGTGCCCATTGCGGCCACCAACTAAGGGGGCGCGGCGCATCCAAGTAAATTTTATTTTATTTTGCCATTTGTTATTCGCTTTTTAATCCTAACGCTATCTCCTAGCTAATGTAGCCAAAATGTATGTAGACTTTATATATATATATATATATTTATACATGTAGCTTTGACTAGCGCTTCCTGCAGCCAGGGCGCCCGCCTGAAAAACCCACTGAATTTGTCTGAAAATGTAAGCAGAGAGTGCGGCGCTCTGGCTCTGTTAATGTTAATTAATTTTATTGTATTCACTTTATTGAATTTTATATAAACGAATCGAAAGAGAGCTTTATAATTAAACTTCCTTTGCATTTGCAGCCACATTCAGAAAATCTAAAATAGATGATAAAATCCACACAAAATTGTCACAAAGGAATCAAAAAAGAAAGAATGAAGAAAAAAAATACAACATGCGAACTGTTTTCCTTTTTGAAGAACGGCACAGATTAGAAACAAATTAGTCCAAATTCAAGTGTAAGCGTAAATTTCAAGTTGGTTTTTTTTTGCAACATGTACACGTGACTATCTAGAGTATATGTGAAAGGACATGTTAGTGAATGGATATGATTATGAATATGAATATATATATATGAGAAACGTTATGCAAGTCACCTTGGTAAATGTACAACACGGAGGAAAAGCTATCGTTCCCGAAACGAATCGCTCACAAATATATTTTGCGATTGGCTGCAAGCAAATTGGGCAAATCACAACGATTAACGATTAACACACAGGAAATAATTATGATATTTACGGTGCAAGTAAACCCAAACTCTGGAAAATCGTGCTTGGGCTACTGCTGAACACACACACACAATCCAAACACGACGGTAACTGCGCAATTTGGATGCACCGAATCTTCAAAAAGATCTGGACTCAATATATGGTGGAAAGGAGAGAGATCAACCATATATATATATATCACACTGTATAATTGAATCATGCTATCAAATATCGTTGCGTTCAGGCATAGTTTTCCAAAATATATATGAATTACGCGAACACGATTGGAAAAATATGTACCCAGAAACGCCTCGATTAGAACAACATTGGGTAAACCTAGGGAAGAAACACAAAAGATCAATATATACAATATATATATAATATTATAGGTTACCCAATGTTAGAAATCTCGTATTGAAGCTTTAACATATACAAAAAACACAAATGCTCAACATATTTTGCAGGAGAGAAGATAGCTAGCTAAAATACACGACCACAATAATTTCAATCTATAATTCACACAAACATAAATGCTCAAAACTAATTTCGCATATGAATGCTTAGAGAGAGGAGAAACTATAGCTGATTACACACTCAAAAACATAATATATATATATATGTATTATTTCAAGCTGTATTTCACACAATTGTTTCATGTTTGCACATAAGTTTGACTTTCATTTTCAATCTAAATAATGAAATTATTAAGCACCACCAATGCGTAACGTATTTTTATTTCAAATTCCTTTACATTATTACTATAAATAACAGTGGGTCAACAGTCGGCTGTTAATTAACATTACATACGATATATCGATAGCAGCTGGAAATATCGAACGACTCAAATGAACTGAATGAGTGGGCAGCATTCACAGTAACATTTTCATTGCGAACAAGTGCTCGTGTGTGTGAAAATACAAAAAGTGTTTTTTTCCTGTTGCATGCGATCAGAAAATTCGGCAATATAAGCGGATTACTAAGTTATTGCACGCTACGTCAGTTAGCGTCGCTGCTAAGCAACATGGAGATCGACGGCGGTGAGCAGGATGACGCGCACACATCGATCTACGACGATTCCTTGGATTTTGGCTACTTCAATATGGCACACGGCATGCTCGTCGAGATTGCCGAGGAGCTGCGCGAAAAGTTTCCCAATGAGCCGCGCATCAAATTCTCCCAATTGAATACCATCTATTTGGCAGCGCGCAGCAGCCAGATGATGCGATTTGTTGAAGCACTTAATACGATCAGCTCGGTCCAAATTCAAACGCATTTGGTTAATACGGTGAGTGTGCAGCAGCATCCCCCCCCCTCTCCCCTTGCCGCATCCCTTTAGTAAA